TTATTGCTCTTGGTTTCACCTACCAACAACCACCCCTTCCTCCTCCTTGGTCCAACCTTAGTCTAGGTCAAACCCTAGCCTTCCTATCTCAGTTTTTCTCTCAAAACTCTCTCTGCCTCTCAATACGTGAATAGGGTTTATTTGTAACCCTATGCAGACGTATCTTAAAGTATTTATAGGCTTCAATTAAAACAAAACCTAATTCTAATTCCACCTATAAGTCGGCTACATTGTGAATAATAAAACCCTAACTAACTAAACAATTATAATAACACAATTAAAGACACCTATTAAAACAATTTAAAACCATTAATTTAATTAATACAAATAGTCAAACAGTTACACGTCAATAAAGCAACTAATTCAAATAATACAATTAATTCAAACAATACTTCATCAATTAAGTCAAATAACAGGCAATTAAATAAATAAATAAATAGAAATGCAATTAAGTCACATAAACAGGCAAATAAATAACTAAATAAATAAAAATGCAATTTAAACAATTTAATAAATACCAGGACTATCATGCAATTTAAACAATTAAATAAATACGAGGACTATCCTTTTAAAATTAGGGGTATTACACTCCCAACCAACCACCTCTACGTCATAAAACAACTCTTTACCATCCACTTCACCTTTACCTACCCAAGCGACATTGCCTCGATCCCCGTGCGCACAAGACCCGTGACCTCAGTCATAATTACCCACTGACTCGTTAAAAGAAAAAAAATGCCTATGTGGTAACACCGCTCTCACTGGCTCAATGGATTAAACTGTCCATAATCGTCTCAACTGGCACATAATCCCATCACATACCTGTCAGCACACAACAACGCTCATAATTCCCAAACCACATTCGGATCATACCTCAAACCATTATGCTCATCAGCATTAAACATCACACCATGACACCATAACACCTCTACTGTCACTCATTCCAATAACCGTTCAACCCTATCATCCCATCAGACCATCAAGTCACTACCAAAGGATTTTTTTTTATTTTTTCTTTGAACATCCTCAAGTTAATATCATTGTAACAAAAGAACAAACATAACTCTCGCTACTCCCCATAATAACCACTATTTACCACTAGAAAAGAACATCCATACGATAATGCCATGCCGACAAGTCCTCAAATGAAAATGAGCACAAAAATCCAGAATGCTCAACACCCAACTAATCCCTTAAAACCGCCGACGATGAAGTCAATCACTACTTCCTTCCCGAATATTGGGGTCACCCCTAAACTGACTTACTAACCAATACGAGAACCTCAAGTACTAATCCCCCCCCCCCCTATGATCATCCTTCCCAAAATAACTACACAACTCCAATCCCTTGGAAACAACAAGCCTCCACTACCAACCGCTCATTCAAAAGTGATGCTAACTCGACATGAAAACACACATCACTAGTGGTACCCGACACCATAGTCAACAACCCGCTATAAGAAAATAAAAATCCTACGCAGCAACGCTACAGGAACAATCCCTAAGAGGGATAACAGACACCACGCCCAAACGATCAACCACATAAACTACACTCTATGACAACTATAAAGCAATGGTCCCTCATTGGTATCTAACTGGACACTTAAGTCATACCTACAACTGACATATCCGACCAAACAAAAGGGTGTACAACTCTTACACCCCCAACACTATCATTTCCCAATCAATCGCTACGATTACCATCCAACACAATGGAATGTCCACATCGATTTCATCTAAGTTGTGTGCCCGCAGCTCACCCAGTGTGGTAGCCTTCTGGTGCCACCTGCACACGCTCACGCACACCCGCCCATAGGGCCATAAAACAAAGAAATCAAATAGAACAGACTACTAAGCCCAAAAGGTCACTCCTCATCCTGGCTTAACACAATCTGTGACTAACACTCTATGGTCACCAAACATCACCACACTAAACTTCTACCTTCCTCACTGGAAATCAAAACAAAAGTGCAACATACTCATCTCGTCGCCAACTCAAGGTCAACCTCAACCCATACTCTCAAAACGATAATCTAAGAGACAAACCCTCAACTGTAAACATCAGTGAACCTCTAAATAAAAATCCAAATACAAATTTTACTCAACCCGCACAACACTTGAACCTTATAAGTCATACACTACATACCACCTCACGTTCTTTGACATCTAATCAACTTTGCTTACACGAAAGGGTCCCATGACTCACACATCTTACCCTACTAATCCATCATCCCAAGAGTCCACTCACTACACCGAGAAAACACAACACAAATTCTCGCCCGTACAAGAAAATGAGAACTTCTGTCCTGAAAGACACCTAAGATCAAACCCTATCACCATTACCAGTCTCTAGGGAAAAGACTCCTAATGGAACCTTGTCATTTTAGTATGCTTTAAAAATTTAACCGTAGAATTAATCTCATAAATATTGTCACTTATCATTAAATACTTAAGCATGCTTTAATTCAACAAGTAATTAACACCTAAGCAGGTAAGCAAGTAAGCAATTAGGCATGCTTTTCAAAAAATTGAACACTTAGCACATAAACATATAAACATGCAATTCAACTTCCCATGCAATCCTAGGTAGGCCTCTACCCGTAATCCTAATGGTATTCGAACCATTGCTCTGATACCAAATTTGTAACGACCCGAGCCCGTAGGTTCGAACAGTTAGCCGGGTTCTTAACCAGACCTGAGGTCAACTAGGGATAACACTATTCTTTCTTGCATCAATACATATTATACGTGTCATTCCGAGTTTATAAAGAATAAGTAATAGCAAATAAATAAATAATAATAATAATATAAGATTATATCTACAAATTATGTCAAAACGGTCTACTAACCCATCGAACCCTATGGAGGAGCGTCGTCCGCCACCTGCCTTCCGTGTCCTAAAAAATGTTAATGTAATGGGGTGAGCAAATTGCTCAGTAGGTAGCACCTAAGACCCACCTCTTGTAGCCCCATGAATCCAAACAATAAATAGAAATTGAGAATTGGGATCATACTAGGTCGGGAAAGAATACAACTTCAAATCCAATTTCAAAATAACAATGTCGTGCCATGATATGTGATGCCATGAATGTCGCTCCCCATACTTAAAATCATTTCCATTCTTCACTGTTCAACTCGTTAATGTAACCCCCTTCGGTAACCCCTCAGCGCCGAGAGAAGGATTGACTACTATCCCTGACTCTTGGTACCCCCGCAGCGTCATTTGGGGTCAGATAGCTCAACCACGCTAGGGCGATCTCCCTAGTTCCCTCTAGGTTACATTAACTCCACAAACCGTTGGTACTCTAGCGGCGTCCGGGTTTTCATAAAAACCATTTTATCAAAATTTCTTCTCCCAAAAATCCCTTTCACTTTCAATTCAAAACACTTTCCCCTTTTCTTTCACCAATAGTAAAAATAAAGAAAGTTTACACTTCACAATTTAACATACTTCTTCATAGAAATTTCTAGGAAAATAATAAACATCATGGCATTGAAATTAACATTTAGGCATACTTCTCACATAATACCATCAATACGAATAAGCACAAACTTTTTATTACAACAATTATATCATTTTCAAGGCAAACAATTTAAATAAGGCATGCTTCACAAGAAATTGTAAAAAAATTATACATGCTTACATACATCATTTTTAGCAATTAATAATACAATAGACATAGGAAATCAATACTTAAGCATGTTTTTCATACACATCAATTAATACATAAAAATCAAGAACTTTATACACCACAATAAAATCATTCTAGTATTAATTAACTTCAATTAAACAAGTTAGCAACAATTAATAAGAAATTGACTCACAAAAGAACAAGAAATTGGGAATTAGAAACCCCTACCTCAATCTAAGTAGTCCCAATTTTCACTTCAAATCCTAAAAATGGGTCTCAATTTTCTGACTTCCTAGAGTGGCCAAAAGCTGAAATTGCTGGTATGGATTTGAAGATCTCATTGTGGGCTTCAATTTGTCGCAAACGGCACTTAAAAATTTCAAATAATGAAAGAGAAATCTAAGATCAAAATTTGATTGCAAAAGAAAAAGAAAAAGCAAGTATGAGAGGAAATGAGAGAGAGCAGCAGGACTGAAGAGAGATTAGAGACTAGAAATGTTCTCTTGACCATTAAAATTAAAGGAAGAGTGGGCCTCACTATTTTCTTCTTCTTTTTTTCCTTTTTATTTTACTTTAATTTGCACCATATATAAACATATACACATAAAATAATGCACAACCTTATACAACACATTAAATAAAATAAATATGATGTAAATGGACCCAACTAAACTCCCTGGATGCAACAATTACGATAGCGGGTCCCACACGGGACCGTCTGGCTTGAAAAACAGAAAAATGCAAAAATGACCACCCTTGCATTTCAAAGAGTCCTGGACTCAATGAAATGCTCCAATCAACTCTCGGACATAACCGGCACACTCTACGGTGTCCGGTACGCAAAACGAAAAAAGACAAAAATACCCCTACAACGACTGAATTCCAGAAAATTAAAAAATGGTAAAAATCGAAAACATCACAGAGCCTATTATAGAAGTTTTAAATTATTACATTACCCTTCATAAATATTTAATAAATTTCATAAATAAAGTAAGGAATGGGTTTAACGATGAAAACAACTTAAAAATTTATCTTTTCTTTTATACTACCAATCAAATCAGTTTTTTACTAACCGGACAAAAGAGAAAAACGTTTAATTTCTTTCCCAAGATGTCTCAGGCTTCATTAATTTCATTCCATTTAATTTTTTTCCATTCCTACAGAACGGAACATAAGAGAAGAGAGGAATTTATTATGTTTTCAGTAAAACTAATACTTTACGGGTGTACTCATTTTTAATAAATTTCCTCTATATTCATTACACATAATTTTAGAATGAATCGTTATTTTGATGAATTTATTAAATAATTTTATATTTAATTTAAGAAGGATAATTACGTATTTTTTTAAATAAGTGTTTGGAATTAGACCCTCTAAAGAACCGGTTAGAATCCCTGTTCTCACTTTATCTTCTCTCTCACCTAATGCACAAAATCTCGTTGTCGCTCTCCCCAATCTCTCTCGTCTGTTTCTGTCTAAAATACCTCTTGTCTGTATTTCTCTACTCTCCCACTCTCTCTCTCTACCCTTCACCGGTTCACCCCCCTTTATGTTACGTACTGATTCAGTTCATGAGTTCCAATATGTAATTACAAGTTGTTTGAAAGTGTGGGGATGTTAAAACTGCATGTCGTGTGTTTGATGAAATGCCCGAGAAAAGAATGTGGTGACTTGGAACTGTATGATTTCTGGGTATATTAGGAATGGTAGAATTCGTGATGCTGGTGAGATATTCGATGTTATGCCTAGTAGGAACGAAATTTTTTGTGGGTTTGCAAAGTATGGAAAGTTAGAAGAAGCTCGGAGTTTGTCTGCGGCAAAAGTAGCCAACCCAACCAGATTCGCCCTTCAGGTGACTTGTTTTCACACACACTGACACACACAGCTGAAAGATGATGAAAAGAAAACTTATTTCCTCCACAAATTTTAAAAATGGTGGTGTTCTCTCTCTTCAGAAAGGTACCCGTAAGTCTACAACTTCTCTTAAGCATTGTATTATTTTCTTCATTGATTATCCATTTGCTAGAGGCAATTTAAGGGCTTCGTTTCATTCCCAAACTGGTAAAGACAAAAACCTCACTGTACGAGTAGTCAAACCCGGTGTATGAAGTCTCTGAGAGATCAAAGTGAATTTGATTTCACTAACCTTGACGATGCACTGTCACTGTTTGATGAAATGTCTCAAATGCGGCCTCTTCCTTCAATTGTGCATTTTACTCGATTGTTAGGAGCCATTGTGAGAATGAAACATTTCAGCACTGCAATTTCTTTACTTCATTAAATGGAATCCTCAGGAATGGTAGAGCCAAACTGTTACACTCTGGGCATCTTGATGAATTGTTACTGCCATTTGAATCGGGTTGATTTCGGTTTCTCTGTTCTGGGGAGAACTCTGAAGCTTGGTTATGAAGTGAACTGCGTGATGCTCAACACTTTGATAAGGGGACTCTGCAGCGAGGATAAAATGAGTCAGGCAATAAAGTTGTTTCATGACATGGTGGCAAAAGGATTTCAACCTGATACAACTACTTATAGCACGATCATTGACGATCTTTGTAAGAACAGATTGGTAGCTGAGGCTTTTGACCTCGTTTCGGAAATGATCAGTAAAAGTATTTCACCAAATGTTGTCACTTACAACTCCTTTATCCGTGGCCTATTCAAGTCAAACCAGTGGAAAGAAGCTACAACATTGTTGAATGAAATGGTGAACCAAAAAATCAAACCAGATGTAAGAACCTTCAATATATTGGTGGATGCACTTTGTAAGAAAGGAAAGGTTGCAGAAGCATTAGAAATAGTTGAAGAGATGATTCAAAGAGGTGAGGAGCCTAATACAGTCACTTACAGTACACTGGTGGATGGTTATTGTTTGCAAAGCAAATTTCATGAGGCAAGGAAGATATTTGATTTGATGGTTGCTAGGGGTTGTGCACCTGATGTTCAAAGCTATAACATCTTGACTAATGGATATTGTAGGATGCGAATAATGAGTGAGGCTCTAAGACTGTTTCACGAAATTTCTCAAATGGGATTGGTTCCTGATACTGTTGCTTACACCACTCTTATTGGTGGTTTTTGCCATGCAGGAAATCCTCGAGTTGCACAACAACTTCTAAATGAGATGTGAGCCTGTGACCAACATCCTAATCTTATTACCTACGGTACTTTGTTAGATGGATTGTGTAAAAACCAATGTCTTGCTAAGGCAATGGCTTTGTTTCAAGAGATGGAAGAAAGTAGACTGCATCCTGGTATTGTGGCTTACAGTATCCTAATTGATGGTATGTGCAGAGCTGGGAACGTTAAAGCTGCAAGAGAACTCTTTTGTAGTCTTTCCACCAAAAGGTTGCAGCCTGATATTCTCACATATACCATTATGATTAATGGTCTCTGTAAGAAAGGATTGTTAAGTGAAGCAAACACGTTGCTCAAGAAAATGGAAGAGAGTGGTTGCTCTCCCAATGCTTGCACTTACAATGTAATTGTCCAGGGATTTTTACGAAACAATGAAACGTTAAGGGCAATGCAACTTGTTAAAGAAATGGCTGAGAAGGTTCTCTGCCAATTCATGTACTATGAGCCTTTTATTGGATTTATCAAATAATAGTGAATTGGATCAGTCAGTTTTGGAGATGCTCAATAAGTTTATGTGATCTCTATTGGCTTTTCTGATATTTTGTTGGCCTTGCAGTGTGCTGTATGTATGGCCTATTGGTGCTTGCATCAATGTCGTCTTCATGTTTTTGGGGTGAAATCATTGTTCCTTGAGAAGTACGAAGGAAAGAACCCCAGTTGGGTAATGTTGGGGAACTTAAGAAGAATGCCGGAGTGATATGTATAAAACTGATGGACTAGATGGGATAAGGAAGGTGGCTCGGTGAAAACGAGCAAGGAATTGTTTCTTGAGCGAAAGCAAAGTTGCTGCTGAAGCGTTTGGGTATGGTGTTTCAATGGTCCAAAAGAAACACTGAAATATACCAAACAATCTGTGCTTATCTGCAAGGTCATTTTTTTTTTTTTTCTTTTTTCTTTTTTCCCCCTGAATATCTGCAAGGTCATTCTTAACAAAATTATATGCCAAAATAGTTGAATACCATAGGTTTAGGGACTATATCATGCAACAGTGTCAACTGAGATTAGGGTGACTTCATAGCTGAACTCTTGTACAATTCTCAACTAATGTGTCTGCTTTCTCATTCTTTGTCGCCTTGGAATGTTGTGCTAGTTTTACTCATATTGGATATAATATATATATATATATATATGTATATATATAGACTTCACAATCTTAGATGTATTAGCTGAATTGTGCTGGTAGTTCAAAAACGTGAACTCAGAATTGTTTTTCAATTTGTGGGTATATGTAAAACAAGTATATTATATGTATGCAGTAGTTGAACATTCAACTACTGCATACATATAATATACTTGTGGGTATATGTAAAACAAGTATATTCAATTTGTGGGTATATGTGAACTCAGAATTGTTTTTCAAAATTCGCTGAAGTTGAACATTCAACTCAATTTAAAAGAGAGAGCGTTTTGTGGAAAACCTGTACAGATTCACAAGTATTATAGCAATTAGGATTCCGAAACAATGTTACCTTGGACTCCACCTATCGAATATAGAATATAAAATATAAAAAAAAATTGAATCTAATATAACTAAAGCTTCGTGAACGAAAAGAAAAATATATATATAATATTAGTTACAAGAGAAAAGAAAATACAGTAACAATTATTTATTTTAAATAAAAAGATAAAAAAAGGATACGAAAGATAAGAAAATATAGTAATAATTATTCATTTTGAATAAATTATGAAGCAAAAGAAAGAAAACGGTATCATTCTAGTTTGCAAAAGGTAAGGAAAGGGAAAAACAAAAAAACACTAGTTTAACCAATTTACTGTTACTTAGTGAAGTAAAAAAAAAAAACTATTTGAACTAATTTACTTCCATGAATTCATCCGGAGCCACCTTCTCATTACATCAAGGCTCACTCTCATTTAAGAGCAATCTAAGAATATTTTGCTAATGCAAGCATGCATCAATTATATATATACACACACACACACACACACACGTGTGGCGAGTAAGAAAAAGTTGTACACGAATTTAATAAGAACCTTAAGATGATGATCTAACGGCTAATTAGTTGCGCGCTAGTTTCAGAAAATAATATTCTTTCCATCAGTAGAGTAAAATGAGTATACAGTGGATAGTTTATTAAAGGGAAAAAAATTTCTTTGTTTAATTTTCTCATAGCTCCCTCATTATCTACGCACCTTACGAGTGCAAATCATTCTGAAAATGAATCAACCGTTACCTTGTTAAAGAAAAATAAAATAAAAATCAATTGACTAACGTGAGAAAGTGGCTTATTACTGAAGGCTAATATTAAACGATTTTGCTTATTTGGCTTTACCTCCTCTTCTGATTTTAGAGTGGGAGTCTTTAATTTTTGGTTGCACTTTTGCCAATTCATATATATATACTATAAGAAGGAATAATGCTGGTATGGCAAAACTTTGATAGGAGGGTAATTAAAAAAAATACAACAACAACAACTATATTCAAATTTACATATGGCCCCTTGAAGGGAGGGACGGAGCTAGAATTTTAAAATGATTTTTTTTTTTTTGTTGGGGGGCGGGAGGATACATTTTACTTTGTTCCTTTGAAAATTCAAACTTTCATCATCTATTTTGGAAGGTAAAGAAAATACCACTTGGCTACAAGAGTCTCTTAGTATATAAAATATAAAAAAAGAAGAAAATTATTCAAATATAAGTTAAACTTAAGAATTTTAAGAAGTTGAAAAATAAAAAGGAAAGGAAAATGAAAAAACTTTGTAAAGAAAAAGAGTTTGGTTGAGAAAGGAAAATTTGACTTTTTCTTTTAAAAAAATTAAAAGAATTTGAAAAGTACAAAAAAAAAAATAAAGAAAAAGTTAAAAGAGGGCGGGGCGGGCTAGGTCAGGGGGCACGTGCCCACTAGCTTGCATTGGCTTGGTCCCTACTCGAAGTATATTTTGTACACATGCCCCGATTATCATATTTTGTTACAAAAATGTTCTCATGTCTAAACTATTTTTCTTTAAAATATCATATTGTCTTTTTTTATTGAATTGCATTTAATTCATTGGATATTAAGACATAATTTTATTTTATTTGTTTTTGAAAGGAATCCTATACTAGAGTAAGTTAATTGGAGGATTCCAACCAAAAAATATGTATAAGCTGTATGAATAATAATAATAGTGGATTCTACAAGTAATTCCTGCATATTACAAAATTAAGCTTGATCCATTCATTAATGATCTAAAGAAATGCACAAATCATTTAAAATCACCAAAAAAATAAATAAATAAAAATAAAAAATAAAAAGTAAAAAATAGAAACAAAACAAAGGGTAGTATTTCTAAAATCAATTATCTCTCCAACAAACCCCATAGGACTTAGTTGTAGTGTATCGCTAGGTAGTAAATATGGATATTTTTAGGAAAGCAACGTATTCGTATTTGATACATGTCGATTACTAATATTTTATGGATACTCGTGAATATGTATTCAATACTTTTTAAACGTATTCATAATTTTAAAATATATATTTTAATTTCTACCACGTATCCATTACTTTTTCAAAAACTTTTTAGGTATTTCGACTGCGTATCCAATACTTTTAAGCACTTCATAATATATTTTTAATAAGTTTGAACATTAAAATGCACCTATTCCAACAATAATTACATAGTATAATTGGTAAGAAAAGATCAAATTTTATTAAGTGATGACTAGAGATACTCTATTTATGTCTTGTGAAACAAATTCCTATATTATATTAATAATTGCAATTAAATTCATAATATTTTTTTAAAATTGACCAAACATTAATTTTTTATATATATAAAAATAAAAGATATTAATTTTGTATTGCGGTATCATGTTATACCCGTATATTATTTTTTAAGATTTACAGTATCGCTATACCCATATTATGACGTATTTGTATCCCATATTCATATTTATCCCTATCCTTCTTAGATCACTAGTGATATTTCTTGTTCTATTCATGAAGTCTTAAATGGCACATATGGGTGTGTTTGATTTACCTGAATGAACGTTAAATATAAATATATATATATATATATATATATATATATGAATTAATTAATTTTTTTTATGTCTGACAAAAGTTTAAGTCGAGATTAAGATCAAGTGTATCTAATGGGACTTATAAAATAATTTAAATAAGTTATTTTAATTAAATTTTAATATTTAATAAAAATAAAATATATTTTCTAAAAAAATATTTTATATTCCAACAACAGATGAACCTGAAAAAAAAAAAAAAAAAATTGACTCCGAGAATGAATGAGAGCCACCCATGCAAAATTGAGAGAGCATAGAACTGTCACAAATGTGAGCCTGGAAAATTGTGTCCTTATGTTTTGAAATTCTGTACAACTATTTTTACATCAGCAAACAATGCTTTTCGTTTTTTTGGAACAAAAAGAAAGCAGAAATGCCGCTTCTAATTCCTAAAAACACAAAGCAAAAAACTGATCATAGATAAGCCAAATAACATAAACGTATTTGGGCCATATTAAGTGTGTATAATGATTAGGGTTTGGTTTGCATGACAAAACGAGTGTTCGGAAACGCATTGCTGTGCACTCTCTCCATCTGAACAACTTGTTCTTCTTCTTGAAGTTCTTCAGCTAATAAATGGGGTGGCGTCTCGGAATCGAGACGTTCCCATTCTTCAATGTCCATACCCCACTCAACATAGTTAGCACCTGCCATTGCCAGAGCTTCAAGTGAAACTGACATTTTCTAATTTGCAGATACAGCTCTATATATCTTTACAAGCTTAGATGTACGTATTAGCTGAATTGTGCTGGTAGTTCAAAAAATAGGAACACAGAATTGTTTTTCAATTTGTGGGTACACACATAAAACAAGTTTATTATATGTATGCTATTTATAGCTCGAAAAGTCAAAAAATTTTGTTCTCAAACTTCACGGGGTAGATTAAGGTCAAAATGAGTTGCCCCTTGAATTCTGAAATACAGAAAGAGGGAAAGATTGAATTCTGAATAAAATCATAAATCGACATTCTCGTGATCTGATTTATGTTGTGTTCATTCTTATTTTGAGTTCTCCTTATAAATATTGAGGTCAGCTATGACAATTTATTGTGAGAGTAGCGATGACTAAAAATTCGTTAAGTGGAGTTGGAACATTCAACTCAATTTTTAAGGAAGAGGGGAGGGGGCAAATATCATATACTGGTGGCATGACTTCACTATCCAAACCCTAGTAGCATCTGATCTAAAATTGCAATTGGGTTCCTAAAACAATGTCACGTTGGAGCAATAATACCTGGATATCAAAATATCAAAAATAAGTCGGTCATAACTCATTAAGCTTCGTTTAAAATAGACGAGGGAAAAAAAGAAAGAAGATAATATTAATTATGAAAGAAAATAAAATATAACAATAACTTGTATGGGAAGAGGCCTACCGATCATTAATGATGGTTACAATGTGATTTGGGTGAAGTACCAGGACGGGTGCAAGTTCCTAAAACATGTATGGGAAGAGATCTACGATCAATCGTACGGTGTCATGCTTGCACCCGCGCAGGGCGATGCACACGCGCAAGACAAGGCAAGTTATGAGGGCTACCCGAAACCAAAGTCTATGATGAACACTAAAATTGGACTGCTGATTAATTTCTTAAGGAGTTTACGATCTATCAGGGAAATAAATTAATCATTTGCTCTTCTAATATACTTTATCCATCTTAAATACAATTTAGTCATTTGGACCATACTAAACCTGTCCCAACTCACAAGATAGATGATTGAAATACCACTAAAAATTCATATATACACAAAGTAATCAAATTAAACCATGTACATTCTCATATACATGAAAATACCAAAATAGATACACTTGCTTCCATAGAATTCCTCCAAACTGTTCAATTACCTTACATGTACAAATTGATGCTAATGCCATTATATACATTCCCAAAATACACAAGTGTGACCAAAAGCATATGATTACAAGGATGGGACCATCATGGTCCTATATACAAAGTCTAGACATCAAGTTACAAAATAAGTTCATTCATCTATATTAGCCTTGTTACAAAAAGGAGTAAAAAGGTTCACTAATTCATGCCTATGCCTGTGGATGTGTGTCATTCACCACTTCTTTCCCATGTTCTTAAAATATTAAGGAGTGAGCGACGTTCGCTCAGTACGAAATGCCTAAACACACTTTAAACTCCCGTGAGCTAGCACCCAAAGAAAGGAATAAAAATGAAATAGGGATCATACTTTGAGGGAAAACATAAATCATAAACCATGCACAATTTCGTAAACCAAGTCAGAAAGCAATATAGTAATCAATGCCGATGTTCAAAGGTCATGCTATGAAATGCCATCCCAACACCGCCCAATACTCACACAACTCACACAAAAATCGCTAACCAACTTTACCAAGGCAAAGTTGACTATCCATCCATGGCCTCTCACTGATCACCATTTAGGGCCTAGTTAGTTCAACCATAAAAGTCCTACCCAGCACGTACTCTATTTAGGTTGAGTTAGCCGCCTGGATCAACCAACCCGGCCAATACTCACAAATGCCAATGCCTTGAATGAACTATGCATTCTTAGCGATTCTTTTCTACATAATCATCTATCACCATCAACTATTCATGCTATAACTAACACATACATGCATTGAGGCATTTAGTCAAACATTTGATAGGCAATGTGGAAGATAAGTGTAATTAGGCAACAAGTACAAGGTTTAATACATTTAAGTTGACAAGGCAAGTACATATATATATATATAAGCTTAATAATCATATACATGGCTCAATTTCAACTTGTGATCACATACTTGATCAATTAAGCAATAGAGCATCAAAATGTATAAAAACATAGCAATTTCAATTCTAAACACATAATATTCATAAATATCATAGGCAAGTACCATAAATAGGCAATTTTATGAATATCATAGGCAAGTATTGGGTATCCAATTAATGAATCTTCTTGAGGTGTAGAACAACTTTCTCAACTAGCTTTTAATCCAAATCCTTCATCAACTAGGTGAAATCAAGGGTTTTGTATGGAGTGGGTTTGATAAAAAGGAGGAATAAAAAAAAATAGCAGAAAGAATAGAGTATAGTTTTAAATCTCCTTTCGGTTTCGTTGATGATCCGCCTTTTCCTATTGATTAGGGTTAGTTCAAATGTTTAGTTAATGGATTGAATCTCTTTTTGTTTCGACGTGGAGTAGTGGGCCTTTGTGGGTTTTTTTTAAACTTGCGGTTTGGACTTTTGTCTGGCTACATACCTTTTGTTTCTAAGTTTTGTTTGGGCTATAAGCCTCTTGTTTTTTGGGTTTTATTTGCCCATTGCCGGTACACCTCTCATTGTTGGTTGGCATATGTCCCACGTGTATTTGTATAGTGTTTTTTTCTCTTTTATGCAATTTTTCCACTCACCAAAAAATAAAAAGAGAGCGGAATTTATTATTGTTTTCAATAAAACTAATATTTTACGGGTGTACTCCATTTTATTGAATTTCATCTATATTCTTAAACTAAACGGAATTTTAGTGTGAATTCGTTATTTTGCTGAATTTTTTTAATTAAAAAAGAATAATTTTATATTTTAAAATAAATGTTTAGAAGGTATTTTAGGCATGCTTAAGAACTGGTTCTCTCTCTCCTCTCTCAACGAATGCACAAAATCTCGCCTGTCTCTCTCTACAATCTATCTTAGTTTCTCTTTGCAATCGCTCCCGTCTATATCTCTCTCCTCTGTATCTCTCTAAAAAAAATTACAAGAAGTTTCAAGTGTGGGGATGTTAAGACTGCATGTCGCGTGTTTGATGAAATGGCCGAAAAGAATGTGGTGACTTGGAACTGTATGGTTTCTGGATATATTAGGAATGGTTGGATTCGTGAGGCTTGCGAGATATTCGACAGGAATTTGACGGAAATTTTTGTGGGTTTGCAAAGTATGGAAGTTTAGAAGAAGCTCGGAGTTTGTCTGAGCAAAAATAGCCAACCCAACCAGCTTCGGCCTTCAGGTGACTTGTTTTCACTCACAGAGAGCTGAAAGATGATGAAAAGAAGTGTTATTGCCTCCACAAATTTTAGAAATGGTGGTGTTCTCTCTCTCCAGAAAGGTACCTGTAATTCTACAACTTCTCTTAAGCATTGTGTTATTTTACTCAAGTCGATTTGATTTCACCAACCTTGACGATGCACTGTCATTGTTTGATGAAATGTCTCAAATGCGACCTCTTCCTTCAATTGTGCGTTTTAATCGATTGTTAGGAGCCATTGTAAGAATGAAACATTACACCACGGCAATTTCTTTACTTCATCAAATGGAATCCTCAAATGGTAGAGCCAGACAGTTACACTCTGGGCATATTGATGAATTGTTACTGCCATTTGAATCGGGTCTCTAGGTGCAAAATTTCACTCACTCAATCAGCAATAAAAATAACCAAGAACAGTATATAGAAAAGCGTAGAATTGCTTGGACGCTTGAGATCCCTTTTATTAGAGGTCTTGGCCTCTATTTATACATAAAAAAAGTAGTAGAATTATGGTAGGACTCCCATTGCTTGTCCTCCAATTCTTTCCATGTATGACTTTCTTTACAATTAGATTTCTTTCCATTATTTAATTTTCCATGCGCAGAACTTGCTTTGTGTAGAACTTCCTATTGCAGAGTCTTCCTTCTATGGTAAATTCTTCAACTTGTAGGATTTGTCCAATCTTGAATAACTGGGCTGGCTATATCTTTAACCGGCTGGGCTTGAATAACGGGCCGGATGTTGATATTAGCAAATCGGGTTGATAACCTTTTGATTCGGCCTGGATAAAGGTTGGAGGGCAAATAACAGTGATCATGGGCTAAGAATACATTCAATTTGGGCTTGAGCATGACGGGCCTTTGAAAGACAGATTTGCATCCGTGATGACGTGGAGTAATCTTATTAGAGGGGATTTTTTCCCTCCACAGGGTCGATTTTGGTTTTTCTGTTCTGGGGAGAACTCTGAAGCTTGGTTATGAAGTGGACTGTGTGATGTTCAACACTTTGATGAGGGGACTCTGCAGCGAGGATAAAATAAGTCAGGCAGCAAAAGGATTTCAACCTGATACAACTACTTGCGGAACGATTATAAATGTGCAAAACGAGGAACACCGGCGCAGCTATTGAGTTGATTAAGAAGATGGAAGAGAGAAATTGGGAAACTGATGTCATTGTTTATAGCACCATCATTGACAGCCTTTGTAAGGACAGATTGGTAGCTGAGGCTTTTGACTTCACTTGGAAAATGATCCTTAAAGGCATTTTGCCGAATTTTGTCACTTACAACTCCTTAATTCTTGGCCTATGCAATTCAAACCAGCGCGAAGAAGCTGCAACATTGTTGAATGTAGTGGCGAACGGAAAAATCAAATTGAGTGTACAAGCCTTCAATATATTGGTGGATGCATTTTGTAAGAAAGGGAAGGTTGTAGAAGCATTTGAAATAGTTGAAATGAGGATTCAAAGAGGTGAGGAGCCTAATACAGTAACTTATAATACACTGGTGAATGGTTATTGTCTGCAAAGCAAATTTCTTGAGGCAAGGAAGATATTTGATTTGATGGTTGCTAGGGGTTGTGCACGTGATGTTCAAAGCTATACCATCTTGATTAATGGATATTGTAGGATGCGAAAAAATGAGTGAGGCTCTAAGACTGTTTCAAGAAATTTCTAAGATGGGATTGGTTCCTGATACTGTTACTTACAACACTCTTATAGGTGGTTATTGTTTGCAAAGCAAATTTCATCAGGCAAGGAAGATATTTGATTTGATGGTTGCTAGGGGTTGTGCCCCTAATGTTCAAAGCTATAACATCTTGATTAACGGATATTGTAGGATGCGAAAAATGAGCGAGGCTCTAAGCCTGTTTCACGAAATTTCTCAGATGGGATTGGTTCCTGATACTATTACTTACAACACTCTTATAGGTGGTTTTTGCCACGCAGGAAACCCTCTAGTTGCACAACAACTTCTAAATGAGATGCGAGCCTGTGACCAACATCCTAATCATATTACCTACTGTACTCTGTTAAATGGATTGTGTAAAAACCAATGTCTTGCTGAGGCAATGGCCTTGTTTCGAGAGATGGAAGAAAGTGGACTGCATCCTGATTTTGAGAAAATGGAAGTGAGTGGTTGCACTTCCAAGGTAATTGTCCAGGGATTTCTTCGAAACAATGAGACGGTAAGGGCAATGCAACTTCTTCAAGAAATGGTTGAGAAGGGATTCTCTCCCGATTCATGTACTAAGAGCCTTTTATTGGATTTATCAAATAATAGTGGATTGGATCAATCAGTTTTGGAGATGCTCAATAAGTTTGTGTGATCTCTATTGGGTTTTTTGAAATTTTGTTGGCCTTGCAGTGTACTGTATGTATGGCCTATTGGTGCTTGCATCAATGTCTGTCTTCATGTTTTTGGGGTGAAATCGTTGTTCCATGAGAAGTACGAAGGAAAGAACCCGAGTTGGGAAATGTTGGGGAACTTAAGAATAATGATGGAGGGATTTGTATAAAACTGATCGACTAGATGGGATAAGGAAGGTGGCTTGGTGAAATCGAGCAAGGGATTGTTTCTCTAGCGAAAGCAAAGTTGCTGCTGAAGCGTGTGGGAATGGTGTTTCAATGGACCCAAAGAAACAGTGAAATTTACCAAACAATCTGTGCTTATCTCACTCTTTATTTTGGAATGATGAACTATATTTACTTTGTCGCATCTGCTTAATGGAGAGGATTGGATTATAATGAAAAGAAAGAATCTTGCCATCAAGTTGATTTGTACTATATATATATATATATGTATAGAGAGAGAGAGAGAGAGAGAGAGAGAGAGAGTTATTTTTTGTTTATTATATTAGTTTGAAGAAAAAAAAAAATTCTTCTTGTTCAAAACCTCCCTACTGAACTCTCGAGCCTTTAATTAGAGTCCTTCATTTGGGGACGGATTTGTGTAATTTTTATGAACACTCTCTCTCGGTCTGTTGTGGCCGTCGGCAGAACACAATCTCACTCAAAAGATTGGCTCACACACACCCTGCGGGGTGCGCAAAACCTAATATATAGTTAGCAACCTTTTAGAAAGAGAATCGAACAAGAAAACTAATTTCTACACATATTAGCAAAGTGCGACCGGTCCACTAATTTCTACACATAATAACAAAGCCCAACCGATCGGACATTTTCAGGCCAAAAGTCAAACTGTAATCCGACTAATAATCAAGCTCTATAACCTAAACAATCTTCCACTTGGAGGCTAGAGTGGTAAATTCAATCTATCTCAGTGCATGTCGATGTGCTTATCTTTGTTTTCAAGTTAGAAAACCAACTGAAGTTGGATCACTTGTAAAATCATTTTTAGAACCAAGGGCTCAAATCCAAATGTCAAACTAGGAGTATATTAACTCCAATGTTTTTATCTCGTTTCTTGTATGGGAGAAGCATTTCTCACACACATTCCCATTTCATATTTTGCAAGTATTATACACAATGTGTGTGTGAGAGAGAGAGAAAGAGACAAGTTACAGAGTTAATTGGGTAAAAACAGCACTAGGCACCAAATATTAGTGGTGTTCTCTGTTTTATGTTTTGAAATTCTGTAAAACTATCTTAATTTACATCACCAAACCATGTTTTTCGTTTTCTTTGGAACAAAAAGAAAGCAGAAATGCTGCTTCTGATTCCTAAAAACAGAGAACAAAAAATGACCCTAATAGTAGTCATTACTGGACTTGTTGATGCCTTGAGCATCATCTTGATTTACAACTTACCAACACCATCCGTATTGACCCCAAGCAAACCCAATGTCTCCATTTCTACAATTCTTCCCAAACCCAATTTTAAATACCATCCTACACTTGCTCCACCATGATCTTCATCACCATTTCTCAACTGGTTCTTGAAATCCGGAACGAAACCGAGTGTTCGGAAACCCATTCTTGTTCACTCTCTCCCTATGAACTTCTACTCATAGAACAAGTATGTATGTGCAAACATATTTGTTCTCAAACTTCACGGGTTAAACTAAGGTCAAGATGTGTTGCCCTTTGAATTCTGCGATAGAGAGAGAGAGGGAGAGATTGAATTCTCAACAAAAATCATAAACCAATATTCTCGTGATCTGATTCCTGTTGTGCCTGTACTCATATTGAACTCTCCTTAATATCTATCCTGTGATTATGACGTCAGCTATGACAATTTATTGTGATAGCAGTGACGACCAAAAATTGGTTAATGAATATTTCAACCAATTAAAAAAAAAAAAAAAGTGAGGGAATAAGGAATGGATTAGACATCTCTACAGAAGATATTGTGTCATTTTCTCTTTTTGTTCGATTGAATGGAGGAGGAAAAGAAACCGACAACTTCTCGTAAACATTTATGGCTAGGGAAGTACAGATTAACAAGTATCAGATTGCTGGCATGACTCTACCATCCAAACTCTAATAACATATGGTCTAAAATAGTAATTCTGATTCTGAAACAATGTTTCTTTGGAGCAATAACACTCCGTGACCAAACATATCAAAAATGAATCTGACATAACTAAGAAATGGTATTGAGAGCAAGATGACTAAAATTAAATGTTTTTAAGACGTTGCAATCTGTTTATCATTACTTCAGTGGAATTATAGTTTCAAAATATAGAAATCTCCCAACAAAGCCAAAATATATAAATGGTTAACTTCAAACACCGCTGAATTCCCTCGTTTAGCCAACAATTCTGAACTTGACCTTGGACTCGAGCCTGAAATCGATACCCAAAAAAATAACAATAAAGAGGACAAGTGTTATAAACACAAACGAGTGCTAATAAATAAAAATAAAAATAAAAATAAAAAGGTGAACGTGAAGTGAATTTTTATAGATGCAAGTGAAGAAATAATGACGACAGTGTACTTAGGCACCCTGTGTTTACCATGAAAATATCTTTCGACTCAATACACGTACATTTCTAGTGTTTCACTATCACTATTTCTTCTTTCTTTTTATTTTTCCCCTCCTGTGCATGGATAAATTTGTTTAAAAAATACATATGGTTACAATAAGAACACAACAATATATACTGTTTCAGGGTAGAAATATATAAAAATAAAAATATGCAAATTTAAAACAACAATCTTTGTCACGTCTTATATTACGAATACTCTCGTACTAAAAATTTATGCAATACAAGTTGAGTTACATTGCATTTATATAAATTAAGAGTAAATTCGACAAAATATTTCTATAATATCGCAATTTTTTGTTTCCCGAGTGAATTTAAGTATTTGGACCCTGTTATATTTTTTTTCTTACAATTATACTATGATCTTATAATTATAAATAGAAAATTACATTTCGATATTCAAGACCTATTAAATATAAGTTTCAAAGGATGCAGATATGTGGTGGTAGTTACTGGCAAGTACCATATAGTTAACAGAGTGAACTGATATAATAATAAATAAATTGAGGACAAAAGAAGAATGCAAATAGGCTCCAAATGTCAATTTGGAGTATATATGCAAAAATTTAATTATTAGTGGAATTGTTGATGTCTTCAAGTCTCTTTTCTTTTTTCTTTTTCTCTCCTTTCTTAGGATCACCAATAGCCTTATTATGGAATTCATCAACGATCATCCTATTCACCTCAAGCTCCACAATGGAGTCAAAATCCTATCTAGTGACATGTATTCCCCTTCGGCTCCGCAATGGATTCAAAATCCTATCTAGTGACATGTATTCCACGATACACTAAAAGGGCTGAGATCAACCCAACAATGGGTCCTACTTGCTGCTGGGTTGATCTCAGCCTTCCCAAACGCCCCTATTGTGGGACTCTGCAATGTCTTATCTATATAACTCTTCCCAAAACCCGCTTTTCGATTGTATCCTACAGTTACTTCATCATCCTAATTGCCACCATCTTCATCATCATCTGAAAACTATTAGGAAAGCCATCTTATTAACTCTCTCCCTCTGGGCTTCTTCCTCTTATTCTTCAGCTAATAAATAGGGTGGTGGCTCCAAGTTGAGGCGTTCCCATTCTTTGATGTCTGTACTGGGCCCAAGATGGTTAGCAGCTGCCATTGCCAGAGCTTCGAGTGAAACTGACATGTTCTTGGCAGACACAAATATATATCTTCACAATCTTGAGTGTATATTAACTGAATAGAACCGACGGTTCAAACAAGAACTCGAATGTTTTTCAATATGAAGGCAACTATAGAACAAGTATATAAATGCAATCTATAGCTGGAAAAATCAAACAGTTTTGTTCTCAAACTTCACGAGTGAAATTAAGGTCAAATGGAGTTACCTCTTGAATTCTGAGAAAGGGAAAGAGATGGAGAAATTGAATTCTGAATTAAAATCAAAAAACAATAAGTAATTCCTAGTGTCTATGCTCTTTTTAAATTCTCCTTTAAAACTATGGAGATTATGATGTGTCATGTATGACAAATGCTGGTGACTTAATGTTGGTAATTAATAATTAAATCTATGATTCTATGGTGTAATATTTTGATATTACTTTTCTTTAACCAAACCGTGAAGTACTGGAGTTCAGAAATTAAAACGTTCAGAATAAACTTCATAAGAGAAGAAAGAAAAAATAAGTGAAAAAAATACATTTGATGCATGCAGGTACCTAGTCCATGACCTCCAGTATTCACGTACAAATAAAAATATATGTGTGTGTGTGTATGAGTACACATGTGCATGCACATGTGTCATCCTGTTGTAAATACACTAGATGATAGTTTTGTTTCCAGATGGTGCCCACAGAAAAAGAACTGGCATATTTGGGAAGCATTGAAGCTCCAAAGGGGATCCCCTCGGCCTCTCCTGCAAGGTGTTAAATAAATTCTTTTACAAGGAGTTCCTCTCTACAAATAAACCTCGAGCCCGCCATGAGAAACTCCTCCTGATGGATAAGTCTCACTATGGTACCTTAAAGGAGCTCTCCCATAGGATGAACCTCAAAGGGGAATTTTCCGAGGAGCTCCACTCAACAGAAAAACGTCAAAGCCCTGAAGAACTCCTCCCGATAGATAAACCTTAGCGATCGGCTTAAGATCTCCGAGGAGTTCTAAACCTCGGAGGTAAAATACAAGATGACCTTCTTAATTCTAGCCGGGAAGATTCATCCCTTCAGAGGGACCCTGGGAGTGTTGGCTTGGCGGTTGAGCCCTGAGGATCCGCTAGAGGCATCGACATTGTCGTCTAGCCTGTCACAAAATAAGAAGAGGAGTGATCTCTAAAAGAGGAGGGACCATAACCTAACTACTTAGGAAAACCTCTTGTCAATCTAACAAGCTGCCATTGAGCCATGGGATTGTCCTACCTAATCCCTAAAGACCTCTCCCAATCATCCTTTCACTCCTTTTATCCAGAAGTGATTATGGTCGACCAAAGGTCTTTACCCTTTGCCAAAACAGTATATAAAGAGCACTTGATGCTCCATTAAGGGCATTCACCAACCCTGAGAATTGAGACTTTAAGACTCACAGAGAAAGCTAAGACAGAATACAGAAACTTTTTCAACCTAGAAACCTCAAACCACTGCAAGAGATGCTCAAATAGCTCCTCGTCCTCTTCTTTACTCCTCCTTGACAGCTCGAGTGTCCCAAGGTCCTATACTCACTGTGGGACCATTGTGCAAACATGACTCCCTCACCACATCGAACTGCATACAAACAATGCAAAAGCTATTTATTTTTTCATTCTGGTTCTGGCAAATGAGGGCGCACCTTGGCACAATGGTAAGGCTACTCCATTGTGTCCTGGAGGCAGTGGCAGAAGCTTGGCGCACTGGGTTTGTCGGTTAGCCCTTTTCAATTTTGGCAAATAATAATAATAATAAAGAGGACACGTGTTATAAATACAAACGAGTGTTAATAAATAAGTCATGACCTAGTCTTAACGAGCCTATTAGGAAGCATGTTTGCGAACTTGACAAAAGGAACTGTTTGGGGGTCTGAATTCAATCATTCTGAACTCACAAGCTCCCTGTGAGGCCCACTGCAGCTGGTGTTCCAGAAGGAGCTTATGAGTGTTCAGAGGGTTCGAATTCAAAAAAAATTTATCATTACCCCTTAAGGAATGAATACAAACTCAGTAAAAAAAATGAATGTGAAATGAATATTTATAGATGCAAGTGAAGAAATAATGATGACAGTGTAATTAGGCACATTGTGTTTACCATAAAAATATATTTCCACCCAATACACGGATATTTCTAGTGTTTCGGGTTCACTAGTTCTTCTTTCTTTCTTTTTATTTTTCCCCTCCTGTGCATGGATAAATTTGTTTAAAAATTATATATGGTTACAATAAGAACACAACAATATATACTGTTTCAGAGTAGAAATATATAAAAATTAAAATATGTAAATTTAAAACAATAATCTTTGTCACGTCTTATATTACTAATATTCACGTACTAAAAAATTATGCAAAACAAGTTGAGTTAAATTGCATTTATATAAATTAAGAGTAAATTCGACAAAATATTTCTATAATATCGCAATTTTTTGTTTCCTGAGTGAATTTAAGTATTTGGACCCTGTTATATTTTTTTCTTACAGTTATACTATGATCTTATAATTATAAATAGAAAATTACATTTCGATATTCAAGACCTATTATATATAAGTTTCAAAGGATGCAGATATGTGGTGGTAGTTACTGGCAAGTACCATATAGTTAACAGAGTGAACTGATATAATAATAAATAAATTGAGGACAAAAGAAGAATGCAAATAGGCTCCAAATGTCAATTTGGAGTATATATGCAAAAATTTAATTATTAGTGGAATTGTTGATGTCTTCAAGTCTCTTTTCTTTTTTATTTTTTCTCACCTTTCTTAGGATCACCAATAGCCTTATTATGGAATTCATCAACGATCATCCTATTCACCTTAGGGTCCGCAATGGGGTCAAAGTCCTATCTAGTGACATGTATTCTCCTTAGGCTCCGCAATGGATTCAAAATCCTATCTAGTGACATGTATTCCGCGGTAAACTAATAGGGCTGAGATCAACCCAACAATGGGTCCTACTTGCTGCTGGGTTGATCTCAGCCTTCCCAAACGCCCATATTGTGGGACTCTGCAATGTCTTATCTATAACTCTTCCCAAAACCCGCTTTTCGATTGTATCCTACAGCTACTTCATCATCCTAATTAGCACCATCTTCATCATCGTCTGAAAACTATTACGAAAGCCATTCTTATTTACTCTCTCCCTCTGGACTTCTTCCTCTTATTCTTCAGCTAATAAATAGGGTGGTGGCTCCAAGTTGAAGCGTTCCCATTCTTTGATGTCTGTACTGGGCCCAAGATGGTTAGCAGCTGCCATTGCCAGAGCTTCAAGTGAAATTGACATGTTCTTGGCAGACACAAATATATATCTTCACAATCTTGAGTGTATATTAACTGAATAGAACCGATGGTTCAAACAAGAACTCGAATATTTTTCAATATGAAGGCACCTATAGAACAAGTATATAAATGCAATCTATAGCTGGAAAAATCAAACAGTTTTGTTCTCAAACTTCACGAGTTAAATTAAGGTCAAATGGAGTTACCTCTTGAATTCTGAGAAAGGGAAAGAGATGGAGAAAATGAATTCTAAATTATAATCACAAAACAATATGTGATTCCTAGTGTCTATGCTCTTTTTAAATTCTCCTCTAAAACTATGGAGATTATGATGTGTCATGTATGACAAATGTTGGTGACTTAATGTTGGTAATTAATGATTAAATCTATGATTCTATGGTGTAATATTTTGATATTACTTTTCTTTAACCAAACCGTGAAGTACTGGAGTTCAGAAATTAAAACATTCAAACTAAACTTCACATAAGAGAAGAAAGAAAAGTTAAGTGAAAAAATACATTTGGCATGTAGGCATGACCTCCAGTATTCCAGATGGTGCCCACAGAAAAAGAACTGGCATATTTGGGAAGCATTGAAGCTCCAAAGGGGATCCCCTCGCCTCTCCTGCAAGGCGTTAAATAAATTCTTTTACAAGGAGTTCCTCTCTACAAATAAACCTCGAGCCCACCATGAGAAACTCCTCCTGATGGATAAGTCTCCCATAGGATGAACCTCAAAGGGAAATTTTCCGAGGAGCTCCACTCAACGGATAAACCTCAAAGCCCTGAAGAACTCCTCCCGATAGATAAACCTTAGCGATCGGCTTAAGACCCCCAAGGAGTTGTAAACCTCGAACGTAAAATACAAGATGACCTTCTTAATTCTAGCCAGGAAGACCTCAAGGGAAGATTCATCCCTTCAGAGGGACCCTGGGAGTGTTGGCTTGGCGGTTGAGCCCTGAGGATTCGCTAGAGGCATCGACGTTGTCGTCTAGCCTATCACAAAATAAGAAGAGGAGTGATCTCTAAAAGAGGAGGGACCATAACCTAACTACTTAGGAAAACCTCTTGTCAATCTAACAAGCTGCCATTGAGCCATGGGATTGTCCTACCTAATCCCTAAAGACCTCTCCCAATCATCCTTTCACTCCTTTTATCTGGAAGTGATTATGGTTGACCAAAGGTCTTTACCCTTCACCAAAACAGTATATAAAGAGCACTTGATGCTCCATTAAGGGTATTCACCAACCCTGAGAACTGAGACTTTAAGAGTCACAGAGAAAGCTAAGACAGAATACAGAAACTTGTTCAACCTAGAAACCTCTAACCTCTGCAAGAGATGACTCAAATAGCTCCTCGTCCTCTTCTTTACTCCTCTGTGACAGCTCGAGTGTCCACCAGGTCCTATACTCACTGTGGGACCATTGTGCAAACATGACTCCTCACTACATCGAACTACATACAAACAATGCAAAAGCTTTTATTTTTTCATTCTTGTTCTGGCAAATGAGGGCGCGCCTTGGCACAATGGTAAGGCTGCTCCATTGTGTCCTGGAGGCCGTGGCAGAAGCTTGGCGCACTGGGTTAGTCGGTTAGCCCTTTTCAATTTTGGCAAATAACTCCCACAATACTCTTGTAGAGACTTAAATCCTCAACTATATTATGCATATTGGTATTGTCCAAAACCAAACATACAGAATCTAAAATAGTAACTGGTAGTTTGGAACAATATAGAACTCAAAAACCTGGATACAAATACTTCTTGTTGTATACTGTTCGGTTTTTATATAAATCAAACATAATAAAAGTTTGTAAATGTTGACACCCTTTTTGGTAAATTTTGTATCAATGACATGTCAACCAATTTGGGGATAATGTGACACGTGGGCAAGTGACGTGGCAGTAAGCTTGGACTGAAATGGAACATTCGGCAGTATTATTGGGCAATGACGTGGCTGTGATTTGGACGGAAATGGGGATATATATTTTTATCGTGGATTCAAATGGCATGTAAATGTGGTTAAAGTATTTGAATTAGTTGGGCAAGGTTTGTAGTTGCTAATAGTTATCTGTAGGATAATTTAATTTAAATATGCAGTTGTTTAGGTCATGGAGTTTTTAATCAAGTAGGATGTTTATCTATAGGATTAGTTTTATTTGAATTTACGTTTATTTGTAGAAATTATTCATTGTAAAAATAAAAATAAATAAAAATAAAAAATAAAAGTACATAGGCCACTTTGCTTTTAGCCGATTTGTACCCTTCCATTCATGGCAACCATGTTGAATGGAAGCAAGTTGGGTTTGCTCTATCTTTCCGATTTGATTTACAGGAGCAACCTGCTGATACTCAACTGTTGGAACTCGCCGATAATCGGCAGTCGGTGACTGATAATTTTCTGGCAAACTTTGCTACCGATTTTCTGGTAAAATTTTCTGCCGAAATCAGCAAGGCTGGCCAATTTCTGTACCAGTTATCGGCAGCCCCTCATGTAATGGAGGTTGTGATACAGGGGTGACATACTGATTTACCACCTGGTCAGGGTATGGTTTCTTGTACACGGGCTGAGGACGTCTACACCCTTGAGCTACCTCGGCCTGGATTAGGGTTAAAATCAGCGCCCTATCATCAAGCTAAAGCGGAGGATACGGATCAACCCATTCCCGTTGTGGATTTGCAATTATGTGCCCCCCGGCAGCCGCCGGTGGTATTAATGAATTAACCCTACCTTGGTTCTGATTGCCCCCCTGTCGCTGATCTCTTAAAGGAGGAATTAGCTACATCAGTTGGCGTTGCACATTCTGATTTTGCTGGTGATTTACTAGCGGTTGAGGACGTCTTTGCCCTTGAGCTATCTTGACCCATAGGGCTGAAATCTGAGCCATAATTGCTTTAATCTCCTAATTCACCTGCCGATAATTGGATGCTAGTCGCTAATCACTTTCAGGCCAACCATATGACTAATTGGCCATCGGCTGCTCCCCGAGTACCGGAGGTTGTGATACAGCATGCTGATTTACCACTTGCCGATAATCGGCTGTTGGTGACTGGTTTGCCACTCGCCGATAATCAACTGTTGGCATCTGCCGATAATCAACTACTGGAGCATGCCGATAATCAGCGACTGTTGGCGTCTGCCGATAATCAACTATTGGCGTTTGCCGATAATCGACTGTTGGCGTCTGCCGATAATCGGCGGCTGGAACATGCTGATAATCGACGGCTGCTAGAACATGCCGATAATCGACTGCTGTTGGCATCTGCCGATAATCATCTAGCCAACCATATGGCTAGTTAAAATACTGGTTCATCGGCTGAGAAGCCGACTGCATATTTTTTATCATAAATCACTCACCTAGTGGGGTTCCACTTGGCATGCCAAAAATGTTGACGCTAAAATCGGCTCCTTAGATTTGATTCTAAATTGATGTAATACGGGTGTACCAAAACCAATACTGTGGTTCGAGTGTGAATTATCAGCTGCTGTCTCTTTGAGAATATTGACTATCAGGCGATGCGAGGAAAAAGAGAACAAATATAACTCCTCTTTGAGTTCTAATTGCCTTAATTAAAAGGACTTTATCAGTGAATAATATATAGTAATAATTTGATAATAGAAATGGGAGAGAAATAGATATACAAAGTGATAGGGAGAAGAGATAGGGAGAGAAATAGAACGAGACTGAAATAGAGAGGGAGAGAGATAGAAATGGCAAAGATGCTATATAAAGAAAGGAGCTTGAGAAAGCAAACAAAATAATATAATGATTCTGAGGATGCTTATTTATAGAAAAATTCATAAAACAAACTCTTATGCATAAGCATTCTAAATACATCAAACTCTATCAAATAACTAAATACTAATTTCAAATAAAATCTAATCTTATAGATAAACATCCTACTTGATTATGCAACTAATACTAAACAAAAGATAAGTCCTAAAACAATGATCTTTATCCATTATTTATTCAAAATATTCTTCCCATCTTTGCATACAACTTGAATTCCACGTTGAAAAATACAACTCCATTCAGCCAAAATATATCCACATCATCGGCCCATATACAAAACTGAACCTTCCATTATAGCCAAGCTATCACCGCGTCATTGCATTTCAAGCCCACTTGTAATTCAAGCCCAATTACCAAAAAGGGTGTCAACAATGGGCTTGAAATTGGGGGCATTGTTGACACCCTTTTTGGCAATTGGGCTTGGACTATAAATGGGCAAATCCTTAATTGGTTTATAGGCTGGCAATATCGGCAAACTATCTGAAAATCTTGAAAGAACCCTAAATCGACAGATTTGGCTAATATGAAATAAAATAGGATGTTTATCTATAGGATTAATTTTATTTGAATTTACGTTTAGTTATGTGATAGAGTTGTAAAGTAATTAGGTATTTGCTTTACAAATAATTTATATAAATAAACAAAGGGGCATGCTAAGAACGAGGTCCAGCACCCTCAGAATCTTTTAATTATTATTGTTGTTTTCTCAAGCTCTTTCCTTATATAACATCCTTGCTATCTCTATCTCTCTCCCTCTCTATTTCAATCTCGTTCTATTTCTCTCCCTATATATCTCTCTCTCTATCTCTTCTCCGTATCACTTTCTATATCTATTTCTCTCCCCTTTCTATTCTCAAATTATTACTATATATTATTTACTGATAAAGTCCTTTTTAATTAAGGCAATTAGAACTCAAAGAGGAGTTATATTTGTTCTTTTTCTCCTCGCATCGCCTGATAGTCAATATTCTCAAAGAGACTGCAGTCGACAACTCACACTCGAACCACAATATTGGTTCTGGCACGCCCGCATTACATCAATTTAGAATCGGATCTAAGGAGCCGATTTTAGCGTCAATAGTAAAAGTTCTTACTGTTATTTACCAAAAGAAATGTGAATAAATATGAAAGGGTGATCGATAGCCATCGGTTTGGCTAGGGGCATGTAGTAGGCTATAAACCACTAGATTGGTAAGCCTTTGTCATAACAGACACGTATCTTGCCTCTCCATTACACAAGCCAGAAGTTTATTTACTCTCCATTTAATCTATTTATTTTCAGTGATAGTTTATGTACAGATATATTATATTATAATGTTTGAATTACGCAATTTATATTCCTGTATGGTTACATTATTTTACTATATTACATTTTTTTTATGATTACTTAAATATTATTATAAATTAAAAATACTCCAATCCCCCAACATATACACCATAAATGTATCTCCAGCAAGCAACAGCTAAAAAAGCCCTAATTATTCAATACTATTTCAAAAGCAAATTAAAAAAAGGAAAAAAGCACAAAAATGAATCAAAACTTGGTTCTAGGTAAGGGTTTACCATGAACTAGTAGAGACCTAGCTAATGGTTTGATCGATCAGTCCCCTCAGTCCGTGACGCTTCCGTTTGTTTGACATTGCTAGCAGGCGGTTCCTTCCTTGCTTGATCTTCATCTCCAATTCCATGGACAAGGTCCTTGAGCATGAGATAAGTGTGTACGAGCATGATGTCCCTCTCCTTCTGCTTCTGTTTGGCTTCAGCAGTCTGCCTCAGCCTGTCTCCAAACACCCTCTCTTTGACCCTCTCCACCATTTTACCCGTAGAATCAGCGAAGCTCAGTGATATCACCTTCAATCTGTTCATGATTGTATCTTGTTCCCTTATCTCTGCCATCATTTGCTCGTATATCTTCTTGCTCTCTGGATGAACATATACGATATATTCATCTTTAGGCACCGTGTCAGTCACTATCTTCCTCATTTTGAGCTGCCTAACTAGGGTTTGGGGCTTCATTTTCTCGCTCTCTGCGAATTTTCTCGCTCTTGCTTGCTCTTTGCGAAAGATTTCTCCCAAACGATAATTGTAATTTACTAGTACTGTCCTATACGGCGAGGGCTTGTTTGTCTCTTTGGGCTACCAGTTCGGGTTTGGGTTTTGTTCGGGTTTGATTGTTTTTTCTTGACCCATTTCCTATGAAACACTGATATACAGATACAAATAGGCCTCTCTTTCAATCGAATGAATCAAATTCATATCCAATTTGTTAATTTAGTGAATTATTGGATTTGAATTGTTAACGGATTATCTGATTGAATGTTTCAATTCATATCCTATTTAGCTCAGATTCGGATCAAATCAGATTTAGTTTAAAATCATATTTACTCACATATAAAGTTATATTGGATTCAGATTAAAATCATATTCACTCACATGTTGACGCTAAAATTTGATGTGTGCGGACATGCCAGAACCAATTGTATGGTTCGAATGTGTATTGTCAACTGTAATCCCTTTGAGAATATTGACTTTCAGGCAATGCGAAGAAAAAGAGAACAAGTAAACTCCTCTTATGAGTTCAGGATTGCCTTAATTAAAAGAACTTTCAATCAGTGAGTAAAATAGTAACGATTTGAGATAATAGAAAGGGAAGAAGATATAGATATAGAAGAAGATAGAGAGAATGAGATTAAGAGAAAGAGAGATAGGTTGCTATATGGGGGAAGAGCTTAAGAAAGCAATAACATTAATAAAAAGATTCTGAGGGTCCTGGACCTCTAGCACAGCATGCCTCTATAATTATTTATAGAATAATACGTAAACTAATTCCTACAGATAAGTATTCTAATTACATTACAACTCTATCACACAACTAACGGTAAATTCAAAATAAACTAATCATAGAAATAACTATCAGCATTCAACTAAAATGAACTAATCGATATCTATTAGCAATATGATTACTATCCATTGGTTACCTCAAAATATTCAAAATAACTTTATCTGTAGCGCCCTTGCATGCAATTTTAATCCATGCAAAATATAGTCCTCCTTTAACACATCATCAACCGCCACGTGGCTATCCCAATTATAGTCCAAGCCCATTGTTTGATCCATGTAACCCAATAATGATCTTTAGCCCAAACCAACTACCAGCCCAAAACAACTGCCATGTCACTAACCAAGCATTTACCAAAATGGGTGTCAACAATGCCCCCCAATTTTGGTTGCCGTTTGGGGCTTAGGCTTCCAAAATTCAAATAACACCCATTGTACCGTAATAGCATATACACCATATAACCTCCCAATTTTCATCATAGTTTCAATTTCCAAAAAATGTCGATTCCATCCCCACTTAATTAATCATTAATTCTGCTATAAACTCTTCGTCTTTCACTGATACACGCTTCAATTGCCCATTATACACCAAACTCTCATTGTATCAAACTCTATATTGCATACCTCTCCCTGCAACTTTCCTTTTCTTCATCAATCCAAAAACTCCTTTCCTTCTTCATCGTGTCTTCTAAAACATAAAAACAACATGTTGGGCTTACCTTAGAAACCCCCGTACCAGAATCCACCTCTCATACGCAAATGATAAAAAAGCAATTAAAACCCTAAAAGCTTCTGAAATTGATACTACGACTATAATTGACCTGGCAAATGACGTTAAGGTCCTTGACCTAGCGTTTACCAATCGATCTCCTCTATCGTTGTCCTTTTTTTACCCTCAAGGGGAAGAAAATTTTCCTTTTTCCAAACCGATTTATCAAACTATTGAAAGCGAAAGACCATCGCTTTCAATTAGAAACTGGCATCCTCCCATGCTTCAATGGAATGATTGGGTGGATCGTGTGACTGCAGCTAAAGGAGACCTATGGAAATGTATGGGTATATTTGATATCATCAAACTCAGTAAGCTTCCTTTGACTCTAGATAGGCCACTATTTTTTGCATCTCTGCACTTCTAGTCACCCACGACTAATTCACTGCACTTGCATTATGGGATGAAGTCCCGTGCTCTTCGGGATGTATGTTTTTTAACAGGTCTTAAGCCTGGGGGAGATGACATCAATTATCTCCTTCAGGATTTAGAGATAACCTTTAACTTTCCAGAAGAAGAAGGGTCAAAACCTCACATTCAATCTTACGGCCCTTTTTTTAAAGAAATGATTGGTAATTTTGGGACCGAAGTGGATGAACAAGCACACATAGGATTTTTGCTGTTGTGGTTATGTAGACACTTGTTGTGTGCTCCTGTCATTCAAATTACCAAGAACCTTACTCAATTAGCCATAACTTTGTCCAAGGGTAGGTCAATGGCTTTGGCTCCTTTCCTCTTGGCATCATTATATAAAGGTCTATCAGACCTCATTGTGTCAAACATTCTTGGTCTAGAGGACTGTTTTGGCTTTATCAATTTTGGTTACGTGCATACTTCCTTGAATTATCACTTGTAATACCCCTAATTTTAAAAGAATAGTCTTAGTATTTATTTTCTGGTTTTATTATATTTTTAAATTCATTATTTGATTATTTGGCTATTTGGTTAATTGTTTAATTATTTGATTGGATTATTTGTTTTAATTTAAATTGTATGCTTATGTGGTAATTGAAGTATTGAAGTAATTGTTTATTTGATTTATTCTTAAATAGTATGTTTGCTTTCATGAATTTATTTGTTGTTTAAATGTGTTATTTTTATTTTTATTTTAAAAGGATTTTTTTAAATAGATAGTAGCGATGGACCAACAGTTAGGTTGCATGGACTACTTGAATGTGAGTTGATTATGGGTGCGGATAAATACCCATATATGGATGGTTGAATATATATTTGAGTATATAAGTATATAAGGATAGAGTATTATTATTATTAACAATTATTTATTATTAATGCTAATAATAGTGATTTTAGGTTAGTAGGTTTTATATATATATATATATAAATTATATGTATATATTTGATTATCACGTATAGGACATTATATGTATATGTAATTATATTTTCTTTTATTTTCTTTTCCCTTAAGATAGCCGACTTAATATTGAATTGGGATTAGGGTTAGCCTATATTATATCTATGTAAAGTTATGTCTGCCAAGGGTCTGAGAACCCTATTCACGTAACATTGGAGGCAAAGAGAAAGAACAGAGAGTTTGTGAGAAAACGGAGAGAGGAGGATGAGAAGGATTGGCCAAGAACCAAGGCTGAACCAAGGAGAGGAAGAAAGAGTGTTGTTCGTGGGTTGAACCAAGGGCAACAGAGGAGTTGAAAACAGTCAAGGGTTGCCGAAAAATCTAAGAAGACGACGTTGAGATTTTTATCCGAAATCTCAAAGGCAAGTTCTTCTTCTAACTCTCTCCCATAGGCTTCGTGTTCTTTACATGCCTAAACAATTCCAGGAGTAATTAGACTTTAAATTGATCTTATATGCATGTTGAATCAAATTAGAATAGTATGTGTGTTAATGAAATTTTAATTGCTTGATCGTGAATTTTTCTTGCATGAATACTTGTTTTTAATTTGTGTTAATAATGCATAATGGATTTGGGTAATTTTTGGAATAATCTGGGACTTAGTTAAGACCATTAGAGATCTTAACAGAGAGGAATGGAAAGGTTGGAAGTCGCCGGAGATGAGAACGATGGATGTTAACAGGGAGAGAGCCTGCTCCCTCTTGGAGGGAGGCGGCTCCCATGGAGTAAAGGCGGCTCCCCTTAAGGGGGAGCCGGCTCTGTGTGGTAGGGAGGCAACTCCCTTACAAAGGGAGCCGGCTCTATGATGGAAGGAGGCGGCTCCCTTCCTGAATTTTGTTTTTGTTTTTTTTCGTAATTGGGTTCTGTTTGGCTATTTGGAGTATTTCTAAGTTGTTTAAGTTGCTATGAATGATTTAAATAACTGTTATAGAGATATAAAAATACTTGGAAGCATGATTTACTTTAATATGCTAAGGAATTGAACAACATGAAGATCAACAGTAAATTTGTAGGTTGATTATTGACTAAATGATTTAATTGTTTACTATTGTGCTAGCAAGTTAAATGGATTTATATGAATATACTCTTGATTATTACAATATAATGTGCTCAGTTTTTATCTAATTTTCATTATATCATTATCTGGATTTTAATTGATGAACCACTTTATTTTGTTTTATCAATTAATGGATTTTGTAGATTATATGCACCAGTATAGGACGGTGGCATATTAAGGATGGATTAGTTCAAAACGCTAAGTCCTACTTATTCTATTATAAGGGAATGGATTAATTATAAAAGGTAAATCCTACTTATACTTGTGTCAGGTCAATGAACAGTTGAACGATATACCTTGGTTTTGGATGGATTTATATATATATATATATATATATATATATATATATGTATATATATATATATATGATTGTGGTGCCATAATATGAGCTTGAGTCTCAGAATCATGGTTAGGGCAGATATATTGCCTAGGATGCATAACTAGATATAGTACACATCTGGGTGCCCTGGTAGGTGTAGGTACACATGCCCCCTGTACGTGCGATTTGCATATTGCCTTCTATTCAGGTTGAGACAGACCTATAGTCTAGTGAGCGTCCTATAGTGTGTGTGTATATATATATATAGAATATTTAGCTATTGTTGAGTTGTTTAGGATGTATATGCGTATCAGGTCTCTGTTTGGATTATAGTAGAGTAGAACTTGTTCGTTGGCCTAACCCACTATTACTTTTTAGGTGTCCGACAGTTCCAGTCTTAGAGCTTGTTCGTGCCGAGCAGAGACAGTCACTCACTCTTCCAACTACATAGGACTTCTCTTCATGCTTTAGCTTTGGATTTTATTTTAGTTTTTTTAACAGATGGGTTATTATAAGGGGTTCACTAGATGGATTCCCGAGTTGTATTAATATTGGAGATTTTGAAATATTGGATTATTTTATTAATATTTCGAGAATTTATTATTTAGATTTCTTGCAACTTATTTTTTTTTCTTTATTTTTTATTTTTCTTGTATTCTAAGTTTGTTTATATACTTAATTGTTTGGTATCCCTCGGATCTGGGCTCGGACTTGATCACCCGTGGCTCTAGAAT